AAGATGAGCCCTTCAGCTTGGAAGACTCTCTGGATATGACTGGAAATACGCTACTTCCTCAAAGTAGAGTCAACCTTAATGACATTGTTTTGGGTCTCTTGTGCTGCTCTAACAGAAATACCACAAATGGGTGATCTTAACAAACAGGGCTTTTTCTCTTACAGTTTTGAAGGCTAGAAGTCTAAGTTCAAAGTGCCAGCTCTACAGGGTGGGTGAAAGCCCCTCAACCTTGGGCTTTAGCTCTGCCTCTTGTTCCTGAGGCTAACAAGCCCAAGATCAACAAATAAAATGGCACTGTCCCAATATTACCAGAAACAGAGCAGGCCACTAGTTCAAGTCCAGAGACAGTCCCAAGATCAGCAGGAAACATACTAGGCTGCTGAATGAAGACTCAGCTGCATTCGGGGTCCAAGTGTACCAAAAAGCCACGAGACTTTTCTCAAAACTTCTCTTTATATACTTTATATCCCTGAGGCAGCTGCTCCAGGAGATTCCACCATGGAGTTGATTTCCAGTCTCATCATGGGGAAAAACTATATCCACCTACCCAGCCACTCAAAACCAGGCCCCGCCAAGTTGACACATAACCTTAAGTACATAGACATGGACGTAATAAAGCTTTCTGGACCATCATTTGCTGATGTGGCATGGCTCAAAATGAGAATGGCTGCAAACATCTGTCAGTAATTGGAATGTGGAATGTCCTAAAAGTATATGAATCTAGGAAAGTTGGAAATTGTCAGAAATGAAATGGAATGCATAAAGATCAATATCCTGGGCATTTGTGAGATGAAATGGACTGGTATTGGCCATTTTGAATCAGATAATCGTATGGTCTTCCATGCTGGGAATGACAAATTGAAAAGGAATGGTGTTGCATTCATCAAGGAAAAGAACATATCAAGATCTTTTCTGAAGTACAATGTGGTTAGTGATAGGATAATACTCATATACCTACAAGGAAAATCATTTAATACAACTACTATTCAAATTTTCACACCACCCACTAAAGCCAAAGATGAAGAAATGGAAGACTTTTATCAATGTCTGCAGTCAGAAATTGACCAAACATGCAATCAGAATGTACTGATAATTATTGGTGATTGGAATGCAAAAGAAGAAGCATCAATAGTTGGAAAATACGGCCTTGCTGATAGAAATGACACCAGAAATCACAAGATAGAATTTTTCAAGACCAATGATTGATTCATTGCAAACACCTTTTTTAAAACAACATAAAGAGTGACTGTACATGTGGACCTCACCAGATGGAATATGCAGGAATCAAATCAACTACAGCTGGAAAGGAACAATGGAGAAACTCAGTGTCATTGGTTGGAACAAGACCAGGGGCCACTGTCAAACAGACCATCAGTTGCTCATATGCAAGTTTTAAGTTGAAGCTGAAGAAAATTAAAACAAGTCCATGAGAGCCAAAATACAACCTTGAGTATATCCCACCTGAATTTAGACACAGATTTGAAGAGCAGATTTGACTCATTGAACACCAGTGAT